GGGTGTTATAGTATAGCTCAAAAACCCTTTGTATGAAACTCGAGTTGGAAATTCCGGCAAACATACAAGCAGTACATGGCAAAAAACACGAAACACCAAAACATTGCCTTGTGTACACTTTTTACAGTATAGCACCACAAACGTCAGCGATACAAGGATCTTTGTGCCAGTGTGTATTCTGAATAAACTACCCATAGGTTAATTTAGTATATCACAACCATGAATGGTGAGATATAGTTTATGGATAAAAGCCCAATGATTCAATGCTGCTTAAAATGTGCATGCATAAAACAAAGTGGAGCAAACAGGTGAAAATAAGGTGGATGTTCTTAACCAGAACGCAGGCGTATGAAGTACATTCAAACTGTTCGTTTGTATCCTTATGGTTTTAGCAGGTCATAAGGTAGCGTATTTTAAACTTGCCACCTTAGGAATTAAAAAGCAAAGAGTACAGTAACAAAACTACAATGGTGTGTAGAGAGAGGCTTACGTTTCTGCTTCGGAACACTATAGTGCAAAGTTCTAATGCAAATACATTAGCAATATGTTTCTTAAGGTTAAAAGACCACCTCTGATCACCAAGCTGAGGGGCACAATTCTTTTGATGAGACTGGCATTTTTTTTGTCTGGCATGAATAGAAAAACGTTTCTGAAATTAAAATCTGAAAGTCATCGGGGCACTAACTAAGAATCAACACAACTAACTAGTTTTATTCAAACCATAAGTTGTAAAGCGAAGAGGCATGTGGACACTGTAACCCCACACAAAGCTGAAAAGATACTTCGCCAAGCAATATACAAGCTTCACTCAAGCAGCAGAAGACAATACTCTAGAAAAGATGACTCAAGAGACATAATGTTAATGGCATAACATTGATAAATAATTCAAAGTTTCCAGGGACATTGAGGCACCATTTCCAATTTTCAGTTAACACTGTATGTGCCTCTTAAGAATTGAAACAGAGATGCTGCAGCATAGATTAACACGACAATCTCTACAACACCAGCACCTTACTTCATTCTCCTCCCTTAATCCTTGGCCTCCATTACATTTGCATTCACGGATATTTGAACGGATTTATCTGAATCAAGCTTTTGCGTCAGATTGCTAAAAACATCAGTTGATTGTATTGTGGAAGGAGGGAATGAAAAGGAGGGAATGAAAACAAAAAAAACACACCACACACACACACAAGTGAGACTTGCGTTCACTCAAAGTCCCTAACTCAATTTGGTATGCATGAGAGATTTCACAGACAAAACCCCAAAATTTGACCCCTATATATAAACAGAGTGACGGCTCTGAATGGAAATGAGTTTTTGCATAGTGTAAGAACTCAAGACCTTCTTACATCTGTCAATTTCTAATAGATTAGTGCCAATATGATGGTATATGAAGAAAAAAAACAAGGCCAAGACTATTCTAATATTGATGGTTCTTCTCTATAACATTACAATCTGTCCACCAGTATGTAAATTAGTTACACCCCTTCTGATATAGTGCAAAAACATCTCATATTTCATACTTGAGAAATTGCATATGTTGTAGACCTGTGACTAAGGTGCTGAATTTTTAAAAAGGTTAAAATACTAAAACTCAGTAACTTCTAAAAACATCTAACTAAAGCAGGTCATGAGTATGAAAAGAATGGTTTAAAAGAAATCTGATTGTTCCAGAGAATATCTATAAGTAGTAGTTTGAGCAATGATTTCATCTCATGTTTTAACTCAAGACCTTCTTACGTCTGTTAACTTTTAATAGATTAGTGCCAATATGACTGGATATGAACAAAGAAACAAGGCCAAGACTATTCTAATATTGATGGTTCTTCTCTATAACATTACAATCTGTCCACCAGTATGTAAATTAGTTACACCCCTTCTGATATAGTGCAAAAACATCTCATATTTCATACTTGAGAAATTGCATATGTTGTAGACCTGTGACTAAGGTGCTGAATTTTTAAAAAGGTTAAAATACTAAAACTCAGTAACTTCTAAAAACATCTAACTAAAGCAGGTCATGAGTATGAAAAGAATGGTTTAAAAGAAATCTGATTGTTCCAGAGAATATCTATAAGTAGTAGTTTGAGCAATGATTTCATCTCATGTTTTTGTTGCTGTATGATAAATAGCCTACTATTATTCAAACCTAAAGTTAAGAAAAACAGGAAACCTATGTGACACATTCAAACAAGTATATGGATAAAACGACAATGCGCTGCAATTTAAAAAGGACAGAAAATGATAAAACGGAAATTCACACTATACATTTATGAACATTTTTATAGCTTGCTGAGCACATTTAAAGCATCAAGCCACTTATTCACGGAAAGCACATAATGATCTTTTGGCTTCATGTCTGAAACTTGCAGCACTCAATTGTAGCTTTGAATACATAGCTTAAAACTACCATCATAAAACAACAGCAATGCTAAATCATCTAGGCTAAATGCCAGCAGGTATGGCATCTGAACAAATATGCAAATATTAAAGATGCCATTTTAGAGCAAGTGTTCAAGATTTTCTGTGACATCTACCACTTTCACTTTCAGAGGGATGAAAAGACGACGTTCCCCATTAGTGTAATTATGAGGAAATGACCAGTGCGGTAATGTTACCATAATACAAGTAACAGGTAACAGGAGGTAGGACATCTAGTCATTTCCACACAACTGCACCCAGATAACACACTCATGATCCAGATAAGCACCGGAACTAAGGGCCTGTGTCCATTGCTCTTCAAAGTGCATCTACTTTCACGAGTTACGAGATCAGCGCCAAATAACAACATAACTCTAGTCAAGTATTTGAAGATAAATTAAAATGCCCCTTATACACAGTCTGTTGGATTTAGAAAAAGAAGGGTCAGGGTTTCAGGGTCAAAAGTCATAGATTTCACCAGATCAAAAACCAAACATACTGTGATTCTTGTTTAAAAGTTGAAGTTAAACAAGATACTTAAAAAAAAATGGTAGTCTCAAGAATAAACTCTAGCACCTACAATTATAATGTCCTATTGTGCTTCAGTTATGGTAGGACATTAACTACAAGTACATATGTAATCTTGTTCGGCTAACAGGAATAATTGAGAGCCATAGAAAGAACATCCAATTGTTGATAATAAAAATAGAGTATTTTGTAAGCTAATACTGCTACAGTGGGTACAGGGTTTGCACTATTTACAATACTAAAAGTACCCAGCATGAAAATGACTACATTACAAATGTTCTATATTTATAATTCATATACACAAACATACCACTAAAATCTCTTGGTTAAGAATGCATAGTTAGAAAAAGATGGTTAAAAATTTCAAGAATTTCAAGCTAAAACTGAAGAATTATTTGTCCTGGTGGATCTGCACAGCTTTGGCCAGGGCTTGCTGGTCTCTGCCGTTACTCTGACCTGACGTGTGACTGCCTTCAGCACTGCCGGCAAACAAATACAACACACATAATCAGATCTATTGGTATAATAATGCACAATGAATAAGGTCTTGCATTAAAAAAAAAAAAAAGTCACATCCAGCTGTGTAAGGAAATAAATAAGCTGTGAGTTATAAGCATTAAGGACTTATCTTAGCATACTGTATACAGCAGAGACAGGATGTTGCAGCCCATAGAAAACGTATAACAAACAGGGCTATATAGCCTTCTCTACATGTTATCATGTTAATCGCAGTAAGACCCAGTACCTGTCATGTTCTTTGTCAACCAAGTGGTAGCGAGCACGAAACGCCACCAGGTGGGCGTAGTAGGCTGGTGCAGGAATGGAGACAGAGCGGGTGCAGCGCACATAGGTGTGGCACAGCTGGTAGGTGAGGACCTGCAGCTCATCAGAGGTGAAATGGTTGTCGTCCCACAGCACGTGATAGTGGGACGGCCTGCTGGTTCCCTGTAGAGATTCAGCAATTATGAAGAACTGAAATCACACACACTTAGACAAGCATAATGATCACTAACACTAAAGCCAATTAACCTCCACTTGTTTAAGTACCTGATTGCTAGAAATAAAGCATTCATAAGCACTCACTTTATATAGTGAGTCTATGAATTCTTTATCAACCTTTCATTGGGATCCTATTTGAAATGTTCAATGGTACCTGAATTCCGGCATGACTGCAAAGATAAAAGTCAAACTCAGAAGGATGAGTAATTTTGGTGTCAACTGTGGTGCCAGCAGGGATGTTGCCGCTCTTTCCAACCTTGAATATAAACAGCAAATTTAAAAGACATTTAAAAAAAGAAAAAACATTAGAAAAGTCAGAAAAGGTCATAACCTAACATACATAATTTACTCAAGGACATGTACTTGTAAAATAAATTCTAGAAATATCATTCTTTACTAATGAAAAGAGCAAAGGCTTTTCTGATTCACAAGATGTTTGCAATAACCACATTTCTCACTGGATACTTCCTATGCAGGAAGTTCTCTTAAAACATACGGAGCAGTTTAAAATTGTACAAACTGTGTGTGCTCATTACTAGAAGCCTTTTTCTTTCAAGGAACACCTAAATAGAGCTAAAACTGTGCCATAACCAACCCGCTCATTCCTGTCCATGCAGAAGAGCCTGGTGTGATGTCTCTTCTGCACTACTACAAAGGTGATGCCTGGTTGATAATCTTTCTCCAGCTTAATGCAGGCTTCACGAATAGCCAGCAGTTCATGCTGTAGAACCTGCATAGACAAAACAGTACAAGTAAGATTAAACTAAATGTGCCAGCACCACTTAGCAAGCATTGACAAAAAGTGTAGGCCTGCAACCTACCTGGTTGAACTGGCCCTCTGAGATGCCGTCTCTGTAGTAGATGATGCGTGTTGGTTTAAAGCGTGTGGATTTGTAGAATTGGATCAGCAGCTCTCTCACCATGGTGGCTAGATCCTGAATGATGTCCTGACGGTGCTGCTGCACCCGCACCGTGGCACAGTATCGGCTTGGGTGGGCATCCATACTGCCAACAACCTAAATATTATATTTTTTTAAAATTCAAGTTAGCTTTTTTTATTATTATTTAGCGGGTCCCTTAGCTCGGAGATGTTAAAAGCCTTATTAAAGGCTTTTGAGGTTATATGATATGGCTAAAAATGTACAAGATGTAGATTGGTCACACTTGTGGTATTAGTGCTACTTGGCACTACGCAATTAACATAATCGGCCATAAAATTTTTTGAGGTTTGTCAGGCTTACAGCAGCAATTGAGGGTTTCTTGCCATCTCCAGCTGGTGGATGAGTCACATCTGCACCCAGAAAGATGACTGGTTGCTGAAACACCAAGGGCCTACAAACAAAAACAGTGATAAAGCAATGCAAAAAAAACCAAAAAAAAAACAGTAGATAGCTGTACTTTCTGGTCAAATTTCATGGGAAAGCAGCCCAGGCGTTAACTAACAATCAAAAAGACTCAGAAAGTGCCTTAAGCCTTGTGCACACTGGGACGATTATCGCGCGCGCTATAAGCTTTCTGCATGTCAAAGGCTTTTGGAAAAGCTGCCCTCACCTGCCCTGTGGAAGAAGAATGTTGTTGACTCCACCCAGTTTGACATTAATCTTGAGGCAGAGGTTGGAAAGGGTCTGAGGTGTGGTTTTCTGTACATTCTTCACCTGGACACACTGCGTGGGCATGCCAAGAACAGTGTCTCCAACACGCTTCACCTCAGCTGTGAGAATGGACAGTTTAGAGAGTTACAAATTACACTGCAAACAAAAACACAAAAGAAACAGAGAGGAGCTAAATTACCATAAACTGGAGTCTTCCCAGGTAAAATGACCACCACCAACTGTAAGCCTTGGTATGTGTACTTGAGGTGTTTGAACATGGGCTCCACACTATCTGCTCCCTGGGCATATTTGCAAAAGCACGGCTGGCCCTGAATGGGCATCCCAGCATCGCGCGATATCTTACGGAGCTGGTCAGTAAATGCCCTAGAGAAAACAAAAAAAGGATTAGACCATGTAAGGGTCTGAACTTTTTTTAATAATACCACCAAATACAAAAACTTCTCCAGATCCAGGTCAAAGCTGATTTACTTCAGAAGTAGTTCTGTACACTGCCTCTGCGGGGCAAAGCAGGCAATAGCCCACACTTTGATCTCAATCCCTGTGTGGAACTGCTTGTTCCTCATGTCCCACACACCCTGGACTGGGGTTGCTATTGCTTTGTTCTGAAAAAGCCAGAGAGACACGACCAAATTAGGAAGACACATCCAGATTGGGATTCAGCCACAAGGTCAGCAAGACAAATGTCAAGTTGATCAGGACAGGTTCCTACCCTTCCACCATAGAGAATTGAAGGTGCCTGAAGGACCCGACCATTGACCTCAGTCATCTCGTCTCTTACCATAACTCCAAACTCACGCACATAAGGATCAGTGTTGAAGTTGGCACTTCTCATCTGAAAGGTTAATAACATTCAGAGAAATAAATGAGAGAGATGGGTGGAAAAAAGTAAGCGTAAGATGTGGTCTTGACCAACCTCCAACGGAAGGTAGGTGTGTTTTTGCTCCTGACCAACTTGTAAACATGGGAGATGTGGATATCGCAGCACCAGTTTGTACTTATCCTTGAAGTACTGGGCGACAGTGCATTCAATGGTCTGGCCATTCTCTTGCTGCAAGGGAAACCTGGAGGCAAGCAAAATACATCGGCCTTTGACACTGCATCATCACAATGAAGAATATAAAATGTAATGGCATTCATACAGAAAGAAATGTGCTTTGTGAAAGATCTTACGTTTGATGGCTGGCTGGTCTCCTAGTCACATTACACACCCTGTATTTTCTCTTCATCTGTCCACAGTGAGTGATTTCAACCTTCAGTCCTGCCAGGTGAAGATAAAGCAGTGTTCAGAAAATCATAAAAATAAATTCCATAAAAACCATTTGGGAAGTCACTAATTGCTGTAACGAATCACCTTTGATTTCCTTGGTAAACTTCACTCTCTGGGAATCTGTTAAGGGCTTCTGTTGCTCTTCGATGCTTTTAAAATCCAAAACCTCACACATGAACTCAATCACAGGTTGAGCTTTGTAGAATGCAGTGGCAGACACTAAAGATAAATATAACAAAACAAAGATTAGCATAAGAAGTTTTCAAGAAACATTTATTAATGATATCAGTGCACACTAACCATCAATGTTGAGCATCATCTTCCAAAGGGATGGTCGAACAGACTGATGGAAGCCAAACCAAACTTCTCTTCCTCCACCGAGGGGGTTGGAGCAGCCCTCAGAGGGAGTGAAGAATGAACGTCCGACTGGGGTGTACCTGCAGACACAGCAATAATATGCTCTAAAATGGCACAGTGTGCAGAAAGATGAAGTTTGACACCCCCTAATGGTGATTTATGAAAAACAGAGTTAACAAAACACCAGCATTAACCTCATAGAGGGCAAATGTCTCATGACAACGTCCAGAGCCTGAATGGTCTCAAAAGGGATGTTTGGTAGCCGTCCAGTCAGTGCTTCATGTAGAGCTTGCAGACTCACACAGGACACCCATTTGATAGCTACTTTAAAACTTCTGTCTTTTCCCTCGCCTGGAATTGTGACCTCCAGCTCCACCTAAACAGCAGTTCGGGACATCAGTATGATGTGAAAATGTAAAAGATGTAGCATTTTGAGAAGGTAGAGTAAGAGCATAACATATTTCAGTAACTGCTCTATCAAACATAAACATCATAAAGCCAACACAGACTTTAATATGACTTTATTAGTGCATACTTTCTCTCTTCCAATGGGTAAAGGCATGGCAGTGTAGAGATTCTTCCTTCCATCATACACAGGCTTTCGATCTCCAAAGATCTGCGTCTTAAAGTGCTGGACCATGTGCTCAAAATTTCACTAACAACAAAAAAAAAAAGTAAGTATAAATGTCCTTCCAAACAATCAGTTGAAATTCCAAGTTTCAGTCAAAAGATGTTACCGGTTAACTCTCCGTGGGCATTTCTCAGGCTTTATATCTATGTCGTAATGGTACACCTCCAACTTGGGTATTTCCATTTCAAAGAAGTTGGCCTGAAGCTTGATTGTCCTACCCATTGTGCCAAAGTCTGGCCGTTGAGGTGGTTTGAAGACATACTCTTGTGCTGAGTGTTGAAGTTGGCACTTCTCATCTGTCACAACCAAATGAAATCCATCATGAGGTGTGGATGAGATTTAGAAGACTGAAAAAGGACAGAGAGCTGCACATACCAGTTTGCTGATCTCATCCTGGCGATCAGGCGCAGACCTGGCTGTGGCACGTATCATAGTGGAGGTCTGATTGTCCACACAAACAGTTATTTCTTTTTAACATTAGTAAGAAACACTACCTTTTTTCGACCAGGTCTATTATTTTAAGCTAGAAATGTCCATGTTTAGTTCAGTGGACCTCTGAGCAACTTAATCCTATTAATTAGGCCCACACAAACATTAAGGTAAGACTATTAGAGCTCTGCTCTGCCATATAAACTCAAGCACCCCACCTTACATAACATCTTTATTTTTGTATATACAAACTAAACGGCCAACATTAGTTTGAAAAGTTACTTGCTATTAACTTCATGTTTAACTGTATTGAAAAGCATTATCACACTCATGCTGTTGTACTGAATATTAAAACAGAATAAACACAGCCATGCTGATGTTCAGTACAACAGCACTTGTTTTTTTTTTAAAGGTAATTTATTGCCAACAGATCATCCATTAATTTTTACAGACATTTCTGTTAACCCTAAAACACAACACAATGAAGTGCAAAATTCAAAATACAGCTAAAATACCTGTAAAAAAATTACATACAGAAATTCATAATTCCAATTATTACAGATTTTACAGATTTGAATTTTCTTCAAATTAATACATTGTGCCCTATTTTGGGATTTTTTACAATGTGATACTGTTTAAGTAATAAACTATCTACTACTGTACTGACCCAATCAAGCAGTTGTTTAAAAAAATTAAAAACACTATACAATACTGAATGTTTTAGAGAAACAGTGTGTTAAAACAAAGCTCTTAACAGTAAATTAAATTTAAAGACAATCATTCCTTGGGATTAAAGCTTTAATTAAACATTTCAATCAACTTGATAAACAGTACTGAAAATATATGCTAGGCTGTCGACTGGCCAGCTTAGTCTGGGCTGCTTACCAGAAACATCTGACCCTGAAGACTGATGTTCCTGACACAGCTCAGCAGCTATAAAAGACATAATAACTGGTTTATTTCATCTCTACATTAGTGATCATGTGCAGAAACATATGTAAAACCATGAAAATAAAGCCATTTAAGTTGAAAACAGGTTTCTAGTTCAAAGCCAGATTAGCACTGTAAAATTACACTTTGATTAGAAGATCACAATAAAGCAGTTGATTTTCGTCATTAATATCCATCAGATTTAGTTGTTTACAAATGTTTAGCATACAATAAAATTGGGTCACAGGGTTTGTTGACTTGGGAAAAACAGGTCAAGTTAATGCAATCTTTTTAAACGTGTGAAAAACTTTGATGTACAAGGAGCCTGTGGGTATCTGAAGTCTTTTGCTGACAGATCCCTTGAACGGTCTAACCCCATCTTATCAACCCTAAAAACACAACACAGCAGGAAGATACTAGGGACATGAACCCACCCCACTGGTCAACAGGCCTTTTACCTCCTTATCACCAACACCAGACAAGCAACTCAACAACCTGCCAAACTCTCCCACACACACAAGTACCAGAATGTCTTTTCATTGAACTACAGCAACTGCTTTTCTTTATATCACTATTTCAGAAGCCCCACAAATACATAATAGGGCTCTAAAGCATATAATACAACACTCATCACTTTATTAAAACCAAAGTGTCAACACTTTACAGTAGGGTCCCATTTGTTAACATTAAAGCATTGGCTAACAATCTAACAATTATATTTCTTGATTTACAGCATTTAATAATGTGTGTTAATAAAACAATTGTTATTAGCATGTTGAAAGTAACAACGTGTTGCAAAAGCAGTGTTCATTTTTAGTTCATGTATACTAATGCAGTAAAACTTTCTTGTAAAGTGTTACCAACTAAGTTTATGACTTGAATAAAAAGTTCTGTAGTTTTACTGCTTCTTAAAAATGTGTGAAATGCGTTTTTTGGAATTTCAATATTTCTTACTGAAATGTAACGAAGATGCATAATACACTAAAACTACCTCTCATAAACGCCAATAATAATTTTGTATTCGTAATTTAGATAGACAGTCAACTTTAGCTGAACATCGCGACTGTGCAAAAATACATAACAAAAAGTTACAAATCGACCGGAAACGTGCAAAATTTGGAAGCAGAACAATTAACAATTTATTAACTAGAACGTTAGTTAGTAACTTTTAGTAAGTTACCTGGTTAGCTGGAGAAAGTCAAACTGGTGCCTAACTACCAACGTTAAAACATTTTTTTTTTTAAACTCACATAAAACAATTAAGACCGAAAACTCTAACCTACGCTAATATCTCCAGACCTAAAATAGTTAGAAAGTACGTCATGTTAACATTTTAAAATTGACGTGGATAGGAGTTTAACCAGCCGCTGTAAATTCAAAAGCCAGCAGGTCAACAAGCTTAGCTAGCAGGCTAACAATAACAGTGGGCCTACAAAACAAACCATCGACAGAGATGGAAAAACAAAAACACTTCAGAACTATAATCTAAAACATTATTTGAACATGTATGTCATGTACAGCCGAACGCCATTAAACTAAATTTTTATCTTTATCAAAAACACCACACTTATTCAGTTAGCATTTCGTCGCTAGCACGCTCGCTAATCATAATAATACTCACCACTAGCTGCTCCAATGGGATACATTTTAAACGCTTTCTGCACCTAAATTCAACCGCAGACCGATACTTCTTGCTTTTCTGATGCCACGTAACACATGCGGTAACGGGAAAGATGAATTTTAATTTAAAACAGGATCGATATAAAGGAGAAAACTAGGATTAATGAGCGCGCTGAGTTAGTGGAGCACGAGAGCTCTGAGTGGCCCCATCCCATCCCCCCTTCACAGCACGAGCGCCTATTTACCCGACACTCACACACTCTCACTGCTTCACAGCTCAAGGAAACAGACACTAACATATGTGTGAGGTATCTCAGCGGCGCCTTATGCTTTATTTAAAGTATTTATTCAAAATGACCAAGAGCAGTAACAAAACATTCATGAAATTGAATTTAACAACGTCTAAATAGCGCTGGCGGTCATGATACGTCATTTCCGGCTTTGTTTTAAAAATAATTTAGAGGCCTATATTAATGAAAAAGGTTTAGGATATATTTATTTTGTTATATTTATTTGATATCTTTTTATTTTATTTATTTCTCGCAGTTGTGTTATTCTGTTGTATTACACAATGTAATTTCTGGATTTATTAAGAAAACTCTCTAAGAAACTCTTTGTTTTGCTCCCCTCCCACATTTTAAATAGGGGAAATTTGTTTCACAAAACAATGGCACAAAATTTGTCTTTTTTTTTCTGACCCTGAGGGTGGGTTTTTATCATTTGATTAAGCATTTAAATAATATTTTAAATATTCTTATTAAAATATACCTTATATATAAAATATACTCTATTAACTATGGAGACATATTGAGTTTGGAAACATTTGCTTTACACCAGTGAATGTGTAAATTGTAGTTATTAACTTGATTAATTTGCTTTTGGTTGTACCATACACTGTTTTTGTTCATAATTTTTTTTGTTTTGTTTTTTGGCCAGAATAATTAATTAGATTGTACTCATTAGGCCTATATTTTAATCGCGTGATCAGTCAAACCTGTTGGGTATTAAACGTTAACCAAACCACTAACCTTGATTTATTACTAGACTTTTTTGACATTTTTCCTCATCATTTATGACTAGTCAACACCTGCATTGATGCACTGTTACAGTGGCCATGTATTGTCTTTTTCGAAAATGGATAACAGATGTAAAGAAACTTGGACTACCACGAGTTACCATGACTTATCTCCACTTGGTGGCACCATTTCACCACTTTTGCTGACTACCTCACTGAACGCTTGCTGGACGACTTTTCATTAACTTTTAAGAAACAACAATAGTACAAACTAGCAAAATTTTGAGTCGTTAAATTATATTGTACATATCAAGGTTTGTGTCATTATAAAATCAGTCACACTAAAGTGCTGTAAGTAGGCCTTTATATGCATTGCTGCCATAAATTGTCCTCAAGCACCCACTACTGACAGAGATGGACATTTAATCATATGATTTGATTTAGTGTTGAATGATAAATTATTGTAATCTGAAAAAGTGCGCATTTTCTGGTTACTCTTATGCAAATTAATATGTAGATTAGCGCAGACACAACAGAAATCTGAGATTTAAACAGATTAGCCTATATAAAAACAAAAAACTGTTTAATCCGCAGAACGTCTGAGAGTAGGCTATATAACTAAACAAAATAATATCTGGATATGTAATTGTATCTGCCTTTAAAGTAACATACTTAAGGAATCAGACATTTCTGTTGCATGGTGAGAGGTAGATTTACATGGAATAGATCAGCAGCCGTCTTCTTTTCGTTCAGTGAGTGACTTATATCAAATAATAATCTATTTCCCGTTCAATTTGTTTGTAAACATACCATAAATACTTTTTAAATATTTTGTTCTTCTGAAAACTGGTTGAACGAGTTGGGGAGTAACTGCCGTCTGCCTCGCTCTTTGGCCAATGGCACTAGATCCTCCCTGCAGTGCGTAACAGCGCAATTTAGGATTTAACCAAGTCTTTGCTGCGGGGCTTAAAGCAGTCTTCAAGAGAGACGCTTGACGCTTGCACACACAATGTTAGTGTAGACTCTGTGGACCCCTATAGAGTTAGACTGCCTTTTTACGTTGTCTTATCCAAACTATGACTGGAGTATTCGACAGAAGGATTCCGAGTATTAAACCTGCAGATTTTCAAAACCCTTTTCAGCTCTCCACGATGCATCATCCATCTCAGGAATCTCCAACCCTGCCGGAGTCGACAGCCACGGATTCTGGCTATTACAGCCCTGCTGGAGGAGTTCATCATGGCTATTGTTCACCGAACTCGGGCACGTATGGGAAACCTCTTAATGCCTATCAGTACCAATACCACGGAGTCAATGGATCTTCTGGAAATTACCCTGCAAAATCCTACCCTGATTACGGCTCCTACTCCACAGCATATCACCAATATGCCGGAACATATAATAGGGTGCAGTCACAACCGAGCCCGCAAGGTCAGTTATTATAGCCTATAATATATTCAATTATTTATTAATATTATTACTACTACTATGTATTATACACAATAAACATTATCATGGTTGAGCATTATTGTTGAACACATCGTAAACCCAGGGTATTACAGTTGTTTCTTATTATAAGGTTTGAATTTTGTAACTGAGTTGGACAAAATTTTAAGCTGTTGCAGCATTGCATCTAATTCGAAATGTGTTCTTTAACGATTTACTGTGTTTTATTTATACATAGCCTATGCAAAACACTGCATGCATTAAAAAGATAGATTACATAGAAATAAGAGCTTGTAAAATACGTAAAGATTTAAGAAATTATTCTGACAATCAAAAGTCTCAATGACTTTGAGGAGCATAAATCACTGCAAGAATTACCAACAATCGAGAGAGTGCTTTTCTATGCCCATGTATTTATCTAATTTTTGTTCACCCGTTAGAAAAAGAAACCGCCGAGCCCGAGGTGAGGATGGTCAACGGTAAGCCCAAGAAAGTCCGGAAGCCTCGCACCATCTACTCCAGTTTCCAGCTCGCTGCTCTACAGAGAAGGTTTCAGAACACTCAGTACCTCGCGCTTCCAGAGAGAGCCGAGCTCGCGGCATCGCTGGGACTCACGCAGACACAGGTTCGACAATATTTTATTAAATGTTTTATTGTAATGTCTTTTATGTAATACTCATATAATAAAAGGGCTATGCATTTTAAATTAAAATATTAATATTAGCTTGCGGCAACGTTGGGAATCACACAAGCGCTTGTTTGACATTTAATAGCCTATTTTTCAAAGGCTGTTAAAATAATAAACGATGTTAACGACATTATAAAAAATATTTTTTATTAAGAAGCATAAATCTAACAGAAACAGCCATAATGCTTTATTAAGGAATTCGCCCTCAGAATCTCATACAACCTTTTGTTTCTTCACAGGTGAAAATTTGGTTCCAGAATAAGAGATCAAAACTGAAGAAGATCATGAAAAACGGCGAGCTGCCTCCAGAACACAGTCCGAGCTCCAGCGACCCGATGGCGTGTAATTCACCGCAGTCTCCCGCGGTCTGGGACTCACAGGGTCCTCAGAGACCTCACCATCAGCCGCAAAATATTAACACACCGGCATCCACGTTTCTGGAAAGCGCCAGCTCGTCCTGGTATTCCTCCACCGGGGCAATGAATTCTCACCTTCAGGCACCCGGCACGTTACAGCACTCGTTGGCACTCGGATCAGGAACGTTGTACTGAAATTGGTTTATTATTTTGTTGTATATTGGACTGGTGTTAACTTTTTTTTTTTTTTGAGGAATATGCAATGTATCGATATGGCAGTCCTAGAAGAACGTGTATAATGTGTAAATTGTGTGCATGTAATTTATTGCATTTGGAAGAATTATTAAATGTTTTAAATGGACAGTGGACCCAAACATTCTGAATGGTGCCTTGAATTTTGACCTCGACGCGTACATCCGACGATGTGCCAAAACATTAAGGACAACCCTAAATAAATGTGTGCTTTTCTTTAATTATCAAACATTTTGTCTTCTTTAAGTTAACTTGTAACTCAAAACAGATCAATGCACCGAGCACTTTCTTTGGCTTTAGAGCCTTTGTGATATGCTGTTTGCTCGAAATTTCTGTGATTGCTAAAGGGACTTTAACTCTGTAGGCCTAAAAAAAAGAATTGCTAAATGGAATTTGAGAAAACCATGATATTGTATTAACATTTTGGGATCGTTTGTTCAGGGCTGAGTCACTATTTAATGGCCAAGAAACATAACATTTTTATACAGACTCATTAAAAAAAAAAAAGCATTTGCTTCGGATTTGGTCTTCAGTTAATTAAATGAAAACGTAACATTTTAACCGAGTGTATTATTATTATAATAATTATTAATCTATTAGCTAATTCCAAATAAACGTTAGATGTTTTTAAGTTAGTAAAACTGAACATTTGATCTTTATCTTGATTAAAACCACCCCTGACGAACGAAAAATTTGGTCTGGCAAACAGTGTGCTCTTCCTTGCTGTCTTTGTGTTCCTTACAATTAGTAGCTTTGAATTGTAGTGAGGAGGCGAAGGGACGGCGCGGAGATCTGAGACAGTCCGCATGCCTGTGGGGGCAAACCGGCTCCAGAGACCACAACCCAGCCCTGACAGATCCTCCTCCTGGAAAAATGCTGAACATCTCATTAAAACCAGTGCTAACATTTCTGCAGCTGAATGCCACGATAAGTCGTGAAAAGAACTACCCAGGGCATGGCTTAATTTGGCATTTTCTTTGTTGACTATGGAGTTGATAATATTGCAGGCCTATAACCAAAATAATACAAAATCAGTCCAGCGCATAGTCGACTGGCAATATTTCCTCACAAATCTTCAGTTTCAGTGTTCAAAATACACAAGCTTAAGTTCATTCGTAAAAAAGAAAATAGTCTGGAGACTGACTTTTCCCCCATAACACCAGAACAGAATTGGTATTTGCCATGTTTTGAACACAAAAATAATGGTTACCATAACTATAGAACAAAAGGTAAATCGCTACACACGCTATAGGCCTATTGTTTATGGTTTTATTTGAAAGCCTAGATAAACACCAAGTCGACGTGACGAATATACCCAATAGAAAGCCATGACACGATTATGACAATAACGTAGTATGTACTAATAGGCTTATGCATTTTGTTTATATCCCTCGCACCCCTCCCCACACGCACTCGCTTACGCACGCAGACGTTGCGTTCACGCTCAAAACACACACACACACCAGCAACTCCAACTTTGCCTCTCTTTCTATTTCACATACACAAACCCGCTATATCCCATGCCATTATATCGAGAGCCTTGTTAAATTCCAACTGAACATTTTCCACTCAACGATTTCACTGCAAACCGTGTATAAATAATGTCAGTTAGCTTTACTGGACACCCTCAACTGTAACACTCAACAATAATTATACTTCCACCAGGATTAGCTCCATTATCATAATCTGGACATTTACAATTATCTATAATTTGCAAAGATGCGCCTGGTTCTTGATTGCAGAAGGTTTTTTCCCTGGCTCACCATCACTAAACAGTGACAGTAATAACGGCTAATTTTGCAGGCAATATATAAGAGGTGTCGGGGTGTGCAAACACTTTCACACCTGGATTTGCTTACTCAACACAAGCGGTACACAGGAGCGTCCGCTTTCACAACGGTATCTTTATTGAAACATTGAAACCAGAGATTTTGATCTATGCCAAACAATAAATTTATCGAAGGTAAGTGTTGCTCTATTACCATGTTGTTTTGTTGTTGGCTGGTTTGAGTGTCGCTGATGGGTGGCCATTGTTATGATCTGTAGTTCGACTTGGGAAAGCCAGGCTATTTTACAGGAAAAGGTGTGACACAAACGCTGGGATGTAGTAAACCGGTCATGATTTATATTGCCGTTTCATCTCTCCATTTTTCCCATGCGCGCACACACATTCTTGTATATTTAGCCTAAGAGTGCTTTCTCACAATTAGGTTAGGTTAAATCTCAGTATTGTTAACTTCGTGCATTTCGGTATCCACGGCTGTGTGTCTGATCGTGTCTCTGTCTGTCTGCCCGTGTCAGTCAGGGGCCCTCTATGTGTAGGGGCCTTAACTCTCACAAACACATTTTGTTTTTATTATTACGCGTAATCAGTCGTGATTCACCCAAAAAAAGATTTAGCTGTAGTATTTTAGGTTGCAAAAAATCTCAGGGTATATTTTGAAGACATTTATGTGTGCATAGTGCTGAAACCAATGACAAGCGTGTTTTTGACGGTTCCTATTTCAACATATAGCCTACGTTATGTTCATATAGGCAGAGCAAACATTTAAATGAACCATCCCAATCCGCTGATGAGGGAACCTTTTTAGAAAATCAAGCCTCATTCTCTGCGACTGGGACATCCACGATTTGACAGCTGCAGGGGCTTCTCGTCTCCCTATTCAACATTGTAATTTTAGATAATATCCCAAGCGTTCACTCTCCTCGGCAATTTGTACATGAATAACCGAATAATTTCATCTTTTGTTTCGTCTTTGCCACTTCAAATCCAAATAAAGATGCCTTTTAGTATTAAAAGTGGTAGAAAATTACAGGTAATTATCTTTGACGGTAAAAACGCTGTAATCAGCGGGCTACATCAAAAATTACCCTAATTATGTCTGCATTTATGAGAATGGAAAAAAACCCTCTCTTGGATAAAACCCATAAATTGTCCCAAATATCTCCTTCATATTAAACGAGACTGCAGCTGGGTGCTTTGTTCAGGATCGATCCTGCGGCGAAAGGCATTCAGCGTCTCGCAGATCAAGGCAGAGAGAAAGGGGAAAAACATTTTGTCAATACCTTAATAATTGAGCTAGAGAATGACAAGATGGACAAGATGCAGCTCTATTCTGTAAGAAAAACACTTTGAGAAACCACCAGCTCGGGTAAGCCATTTTGCTATTGCTTCAGATATCTTTCCAGCATTAGAAAAAATGTCATGTGGAGGTAACTATTTACATATTACTGTGCAAGTCGTTTAAAGGTCCTAATTTTGTATGTTTTATAAAGAAATTATTTATTCATTCAATGCAGATTATTCCAATAATCAAATTCATAACTGATTCTAAAAAGTCTGTTTCATAATGTCTCCAAAATAAAAAAAGGCACGACACGATACTTGAAGTCATGTTTACTCCATTTATGACAAAACATAAAAAGTTAACAACTAAAATCGGACAATATATTTACAATCAAATTGCTTGCTTTTGCATGATCAGAAACATCTACCAAAGAGGTTTGAGTTCGTTTTCAAATGCGACTCAAGCGCGTGCGATGTGACAAAACGTTTAGCTTCCTGTTCAGATTTCATGTTGGCGATGAATGTTTGATTAGAGTCAAACGTGAGAACAGATTTTTAATCAACCTGTTTATGATGCTACCGACAGTTAATTCCATTGTTGACCTTCGCCACACCACATGTCTTCATCCTTCAAAAGAAATCGTCCCCTTAATATGCCAGAATAGGTCTCTATTAAGGATGTTAAGCCGAGGACAATGTGCGTCCTAGCGCACGTGAACTGGGCGAAGACAGGATGTCAACATCAAGGCCTCTGGCCTAAAAAAGGGCTAGTTGCCTATCTCTGCATGGCGTCCTGATGAGGCGAAGAGTACCAGTGTGAGTAACCGGGCATGTAGCTGTTAGCAGACATGTTTACTCCTTTAGAGGAGGCTGAGACGTCCCAGATAGGAGGAATGGCTGGAGAGCGCGGGGACAGGGCGATGGAGCCGGGCAAAGGGTCACTCTCGTGAGGGTTACCGCCTTGTTTCAACAACTTCTTGAACTTGGACCTTTTGTTTTGAAACCATATCTTTACCTGAAAGACAAATAAAAAAAATTTAGGTTGCTAAATTGTTAAGTTAAGGTGATGTCTAATTTAGTGTAACATGATATTTTATTTTTGTCAGGGTAAAAAATAAACAAACGTATTATACAGCCTGCTTCCAAAACACCATTATTCCACCATTATCAATAACAACAATCAAGATATAATACTCAACCTAAATGAGCAACACAATAAACTAATAATGTAAATGAGTCCACATCTCACCTGCGTCTGTGTGAGCCCGAGAGAGGCAGCCAGTTCCGCGCGCTCTGGTAGCGCCAGGTATTGAGTCTGCTGGAAACGGTGATTTAGTGCCTGGAGCTGCAAACTGGAATAAATCGTCCTCGGTTTTCTGATCTTTTTGCCTTTTCCGTTGAAACGTATTTCTCCATTTTCAATCACTGTTGTTTTCTGCTGTTCTGAAAGGGGTGAAGATTGTGGAATGATGTATAAGTCTGTACAGAATTTAAAATGCGATTTTTTTTCGACAAACACAAATAGTCTGTAATGTTCATTCAAGCACTCTATAGCATAATTACATTGTCTGTCATATTTAGGAAATTGCATGTAGTGACACGTCGAGACGGAGACAATTAGATGCTAATTATAATTTGCTATGGTGGGTAGAATCACTGGCGGAACGCAATAAATCATTTTGAGGAGAACACCGTTACCGCTGACATAGGACGGGTAAAACTAGGCGAGAACGAAAGAGAACTGGTAAGGTGCTTTAAATACGAACTTGCCGTGTATGTCCTTGTTACATTTTATCGAAGTACAGCTTAGCAATGAAAACAGAGCTGTAGGTTTACGCGTGCAAATACGCTTACCTGTGGCGTCTAACCTGGTCTGTGCTCCGCTGGCGTTACTGTGGTAGGACGGCAGGTATGGACTGTGGTGGGGATGGCTTACATAGGAGTAAGGTAGCGACCTGTTATAGGAGTTCGAGCCGGAGTACGGAGAGCTGTCGTGCTGCTGCTGCTGATGAGACGCGGAATGGAGACAGTGGAGCGGATAATGGCTGGCGGCCATCGACGGGGAGCTCTGTTGTGAGTGCGATTGCTGTCCAAACTCCATGAAAGCAGATTTTGACGAGTCTTGAGCCTCCAGACCGTCAGCCATCGTCGTCATGGTCATCATCAAATTTTCTGCTTTGAGAGCACTTATCCCCTATCTCTGAAGTCCAAATGAGTCCTTTCGTTGTGTTCGTTTCTTTCTCTCCTTGGTTAGGAGATATTGCCTTATTACCTCCAAAATGTATCCTTTTTTGTCCTGTAATTCTCACACGGTATGGTGGAAGGTGGGCTTGAGTAAAGGCAGAGATTTTAAGGTGGATTCTGTTAAATTTGAGTCCTTGCTTCCAGACTTGATGCAGCTACTACAAGTAAAATGGTTTGTCTCCAAAGGGCAGCGCCTTCCGATTGGTCATTCAACCTAACGTCATCAGTTCTCTGCTTTAGCTGAGACTTCACAGCGAGTTAACCTACCTTAACAGCTCCCACCGTAGCCATAACCATGTGGAGAATAATAATGCTGGGATATCCCTCTGAAATTCACAACATTCCCACTCAGATACGCGACTCCTGAGACAATGTCGCGCGCTGCCATCGAAGTAATTAATCGCGTGGTTCGTAACCGCGGCAGAGGTGCCAAATAACGCTTAGCCTACAAACGGCGCAAACACTGAATGCATCGAATCGATAGAATACGATACAGGACAGCGACTTCATTGCCTTACGTACAACTACAGAGTCACTTTTATGGATGCATTTAGCCTAAAAACAGCAGAATCCACACTAGTAAAATAATAGCACAACACAAATAAAACCACTCAGAACAACACATAAATAAATAGGGTGTGATTTACAGTATAGAAAAAAATCTATTAGGCCTAGGTGAAAATACGCGATGCCAAAATAGAAAAAGCATAGTTTTAAGCGTCTTCAGAGAGGATTCACGTGAACTACTAAACACGCCAGATATGTTCTGGTTTAATTAAGCCCCAGTCACTGAAATGCCCGGGTTAGTGACAGCCTTTCCTTGTAGTAATCACGAGCAAGTCACAGTCGAAAATATATGCAAATTACGAGTGCAGTTTGTGGTTTGGCAAATCGCGATCACATTATAAACCACTATGTAAATATACCCTACAACTGCAAGGCTTTCTTCATTCTCATCTCACTCAGTTTTTATTTTATAGACAACGAGTTTCCTTATGATATGGCATAAATTTACTTTAAATGGTAATGAAAAAGCAATTATGGTCGCAATCAGTTATATCCAAATCCTCTTTGATTATCCGTTACACTGTATTCAGACTGGCGCTATAAAATTAAGAACAATTCGTCTGTAATGATTATAGACCTTGTTTATTTTGGGAGGTGGATTAAAAGTGGATATAGCATAAATTATCTGCTAATTATACACCAGTGTCGCCTCAATTATCCTCTTATCAAAAATGGTAGCCCTAAATGCAGCATTTAGTTTCAATTTTCTCCCTTTCTGTAACAAGAACTGCGTACCTTGCTATTATTACTTAGGGATGTTATTTACTTTGCCGGATTTAAGAGTGCACAAGCGGCGTACATAACCATTTTCCATGCTGGACTGAACTTGGGAGAGACGGAAAGGCAGCTGGTCGATCTGAAAGCTTCTGGATTTCTTCTCGTAGTCAAGATATCAAACATTTTGAGTTCAAAAGAATTGTGCCAGGTAAGAGGAAACATGGAGCATTAGTTCATTCGTTTGAAGAATACTGAATGTTTTTGTTTATTTTAAATATTATTTAAAAAAATCTGCCACAATTTGCTTAAATGCAACTGTCAAATGAGTTATCAGTGGTGATCAGGAATTTGATTGATTATTTCTGCTGCATGACCAGTGTGAAAATGTTTGTCAAGCAAGTGAGAGCGAAACCAGAGACATCCTTGGCATGGTACAAACAAATCTTCCAATTATGCTTTCTTGTTGGCATTTTAAGTGCTTAACTGATCGAGACTTCATGGTTTGGTACCTTTGCTACCTGTGTTGACAGTTTACCTTTGACAAATTGAGGACATGTCTAGAATGGCTATATTATCCAGGGATTGATCTATTAAATGATTTGATAAAAGCTGACAAAATTCTGCAACCGGCCAGTAAATCTGTTTCAGCTTATATTGTACACAGGCTCCGTATGTCAATTAAAACTAAATGAATTTACTTGCTGCTGAATTATCGTAAATGGTGTTGTGTTGTAGAGAAATTGTATTCCAGTATCTGAGGAAAAATGCGCGGAAATAGAAAAATACAAATATGAATAAAATATGAGTGACTTTGAGTTAGTTTGAGAACACCATAACCATTGTGTTACAAGTTAAAAATTGAAGTAAAAAGTAAATATTAATATTAAAATACTAATATTTTGTTGGACACAAAAATGGCACAAAAATAATATTTTAATTATAATTAAAATGTTTAATTTCTGTATTATGAAGGCGAAACCAAAATCGTCTTTAGTATTGCTGAAAAATTATATAAATGTATTTAATTTTTTATTTTAATCATATCATTTTAAAAAATGTGAACCATAATGTAAATAATAATTAAACTGTTATGTTATTATTATTATTGGGAATATAATCGTAGCAAAGCATGCACGTAAACCCATAAGCATCATATTACAAATCTGTCAAAAAGAAAGAGAAAGAGAGGGGATCTGTGTGGACATGCCGGCGCTCGAGTGCATCCATGCAGACCTATCTGAGCTTTAACACAAAACTAGTTTGAAATGGAATCGTCTTCATTCCGAAAGCGCACCGGATCTTGTTGTCATTCGTCCGAACAGACATATTGACCGGCTCGGATGGGAAGACACTGTTTTGATTGTACAGACTTGCCAGTCCAGCAGAGGCGGCTGTAACGGGTCTGCTCTCCTCGAACTCAAGCCCATCGGCTGTACACAGACTCGCAGGCGTCGACGGATTTCCATGGCTGCTGAGCAGAGGAAGTGGCGAGGCAAAGCGAAGGCAGATGGATAGCACGTGCAGCTGTCGGTATTCTGCGCGAGATCACTACAATAGAAATCAAGAGAGGAGAATAAGCACCACCAGACCCCTCCCTGCCATTAAGCCTAGGTCTCATATTAAATCATGTATTTTATTTCAGGACTAAATATTTAACGGAGTCGGTAAACCTTTCGGATAAGATGCTTTATTTGGTTGGAAGCCGGTGTTAGAAAAACAAAGACAAACAAGTCAGAGACATAAAAAGATGGAAATATGCTAGGCATAAATTCGATTAAACATTTAGATTGATAAAGGGCAAAGATTTAATTATTTAAAATTAAAATAAGATTATTCATGTCGAAATAGCTTATATATTTAAATAGGCATGTTTTTGAGCTGTTGATTCTCGCGTCATATCCTCATTCTTGCTAAACTTGATTGACTGGTGGGTTGATTAATGTAACTTTACACTATAGCGGTTTGGTGACCATGGTCTTAAGATCATAGCATAACGGTCCATTTTTGATAGCAATGTATTAAAACGAGCGAGAGAGGCCTAATGTCACAGATATAGCATTAGCTTTGCGTCTCTGTGCATTTGACGTACTGCATCGGATATTTCATCCCAATGTACAACAAAGAAGTTTGTTTATCTCTAGAAAATAAGAACATACGACTGTGTAGTACACAGACCTGAAAGGATAGGCTACTTCAATGTTCAATTCACAATTACAGCCAACGCAGAAGCGCACGTTGCCTCTTATGAGCATTAATTTTCAGTTCATCTAAATGAAGGTGGCTCTGCTGAAATATCTTTGATCTTTTGAGAATGTTGCACAATTGAGAACAGTGGGATTTTTCGGGGTTCTTTTTCGACTTATAAAGAAGACATTATTAGCTCTGACAGCACACGGCTCAGGTCTGGGGGAGAGGATTTTCTAGAGAGATGACAGACAGGAAGGCCAGCAATCACAGGCTTTTTTATCCGAATGTAGCTACTGTTCGATGCCGTTTATCCCTGATGATAGAAAATTGCTCTGTTGCCAGGACGCGGCTGCTGAAATAGAGGGCAAGAGCAACATTTCCATTTTCCAGTTTGAAAGCCATTGAAATTAATTAGTAAAATGAAAAAAATCCCGCGGTAAACAAAGAGGGGCAAACAAAGATACACTTTTTTTCCTTGCGCCAAGCCCCCTTTCATTTTGTACATTTTCGTTAGCTGCTTTCCTGAGGCTTTGAATTCAACACTTGCAAATGTAATGGGCTCCTGATGTGCACCGGAGATAATTACGCATTTTCAATACATTCTAAATGTAAAGCAAAGTGTAATTTGTTCCTGTTTGCATATCAGTGCCATATTTCTTCACGTAGCTTATTACTGTTAACAGAAGCACTATTTTAAGTCTTAATAAATATTGAAGGTCTATTGAAATATTTGCACATTCACTATACTCGCACGATAATAAAATAATCACAGGAATACATATGAAATAATTTGTTTTTATGATTTTGACAAGTGGCTTGTCATTCGACTCGCATTGATCATATTTCTTAACTTGTAATCCATAAAGTCTCAGGGAGGAGTTTGTCAGAATATTACTTATGACAGTTTGAAAACACACCCAACGAATAGTGGGTTTACGTGTCATGACAGACACATGCTTTATTGTTATTTGGGCGCGCAGTGGCCGACCACAACAGCGCATTTGGTAAACAAGCGCGCGGAAAACAGACCCTGTTCGAGATGCACGAATAACCAACACTCCTTGTCCAGACATTTCACAGGTGAAAAAAGACAAGTTTACAAGACTAGCTACAAGACAACCATATAATCATAATTTTGATAAGCAACAGCACCAGTTGTCATTGCTCGCCAAAACGGGAAAACTCACAAATATTAACAGCAGGAGATCAGCATGACAGTTATTTTCATGTGTGACAGTAGCCTGTTAATGTTAAATGGAAAAATGTACGATAAACAACGAAATATAGCCTATATATAATCCCAACTATTGATTGGAAGAAATCATATTTCGTTGTATTTCAATTATTGGAAGAAATAATATTAAATTCTTATTTGGTATTGTTCTGATTATTGATGATTATCATTATAGTGATACTTCTGTTACTGATATCGTCGTTAACAATTGATGCTATTGCTTACAGAAAAATCGAAACATGTATGCGTCACTTCTCAACCATTTTAACTGGAAACATTTGAAACAACGCTAAGTAGTTCGAA